TTGTGTTAAATGTCAGGAATGGAAGCCGTCGCTGTGACGTGATGCAGATTGCTGCGCTGCTCACACATGCGCCATCTCATCTCTCCCTGAACTGCGGTGCCACCCGAGCTGTCCCTTCCAATCCCCCCGGGAGAGAGCTGAAGATTCCTCAGGATGTCTTCTCTCCTTATAGTTCTCTGTGTGCTCCGGAGGTGCCGCGGCTCAGACATATATCAGGGAACGGGTAGCAAGAGGGTGACACTGCAAATCGTTGCCTCAGCTTCACCTTTACTTCCTTCAACACAGCCTAGGAATGTCTGTTGGCCCCCAGCACCTGAAACATGCTACAGTGGCAGTACATTGCCATAGTGCAGTAAACCTACCTGACCCTACCCCACCCTAATCCTAACCTTACCCCACCCTAACCTAAAGAATGCTCCTTACATTGGTGGTCAGAGGGAAGAATGCTCCTTACATTGGTGGTCAGTGGGAAGAATGCTCCTTACATTGGAGGTCAGTGAGAAGAATGCTCCTTACATTGGTGGTCAGTGGGAAGAATGTACCTTATATTGGGGGGCAGTGAGAAGAATGCCCCTTACATTGGAGGTCAGTGGGAAGAAAGTTCCTTACATTGGAGGTCAGTGGGAAGAACGCTCCTTACATTGGGGGTCAGAGGGAAGAATGCTCCTTACATTGGAGGTCAGTGGGAAGAATTCTCCTTACATTGGGGGTCAGAGGGAAGAATGCTCCTTACATTGGTGGTCAGTGGGAAGAATGTTCCTTATATTGGGGGGCAGTGAGAAGAATGCCCCTTACATTGGAGGTCAGTGGGAAGAATGCTCCTTACATTGGAGGTCAGTGGGAAGAACGCTCCTTACATTGGGGGTCAGAGGGAAGAATGCTCCTTACATTGGAGGTCAGTGGGAAGAATTCTCCTTACATTGGGGGTCAGAGGGCATGTTTTTGCAGTGCGGGAGAAAACAAGAGTACCTTGGGAAAAGCCATGCAAGCACAACATGCAAACTCTTTGTAGATAGCGTCAGGACTGGGATTTGAACCTCTGACCTTCAGTGCTGCAAGGCAGAAGTGTTGCCCACTGAGCCACGGCTGCCCAATCACGAGATAGCAAGTGATTAACTAGTATAACCAGGATTACTGGTGGTACACGGCGGCTGCATACAGAAGATGGGCGTGGCACAGACACAGCCTGCAGCTCTCCATCTAGCTAGGAATGAAGGTCCCAGTCCATTATCTGGG